ATGCAAACATATAGGCATGTTATAGGGACTGAAATAACATGATAAATGGTTCCAAACCACTGAAAAGATGCAAGTAATGCATGCTCATGATCCATGCACTTGAGGCTCACAAGCCAAGAATGCAAAGAGACTATACTAAGCATGCCATGGTCGACCAAAGAAACCAAAAACAGAACTTCAACATGCTAAAACAAGCACAAAAAGCTTCACAAAGCTATGCCTAAATCATGCTAGAGCAAGGGTCTAAACCTAAAGCATGTCAGGGCAAAAATATGGAATTACAAGACATGTATGCAAGGCATGCAAGGGGTGTCCAAACCAACATGAGACAGAGGTAATGCATGGCAAAATACTACCAAATAACAGTTAAGGCATGGTCAACATGAACCTAAACTAGGTGCTCACACATGAGGTAAAAATGGACCTTTTCAAGGACAACAAGGAGAGGGGGTGGCCCTCTCCTTCTTAGGACCTCAAGGCACCATCCTCACCACTGAAATCCCTCAAGATCTCAGTGGTGAGGAGGCCCAAACACAATGGTCCCGGAGCTCACCAAAAATGCACAAAAATGGAGCCTAACAAGGCTTAAGAGGGGTCAAACAACCTCAAAGCTCAAAACACTCTTAATCAACTATTTAGAGTAGGCAAAAACAAAAATTTTATATGTTATACACCAAGTCTAAAAATAGTTTCAAGGTAGTCAAAAAATCTATGCAAAAATAGGGTAAAAAAGGCAAGAATGTTACCCTTGAAAACCCTCTTCACAAATGGTGGACCAGCTGCTTCTTTGAGCTCAAAACCACCCAAGAACACCAAGAACAAACCTCTGGCCCCTCAGTAACCAAGAAAAGGTGTAAGACTAGGTGTTTGTGTGCAAAAGTAAGACAAAACACACACTAATACACAAGAGAGAGGGAGATATAGGGATGGAAGATTTGCAAACCCTATCCCTAGAACTCAAAGCTCTGGAAAAATGTTGTCTAACCCTAAAAGAGAGAGAAAAGGCCTCCTCTTATAGAAGATTTAATCTTGTAAAGCTTCCAAGGCAAGCTAACAAGGTTGATGTATGGAGGGGAGCAAAGGTGGGTGCCAGCTATCACAGCTACGACAAAAATATCTGCAAAAGCAGATGAACAGTGGTCGGCCAGCCAAAAATGCAATTTGACCAAAATAGATGGTCGGCCGACCACAAAAAGTGCCGGCCGGCCAAACATTTGGCCGATGGCAACAAACCAATGGCCGGTGGCCTCAATCCATGGCCGGTGATGTGTGGGGGTGGCCAACAAGCCATCCCCTGCCCCTCACAGGCAAAGCACAAGTGTTTGGTGCAAAAAGAAAAGGCCTCCTCTTATAGAAGATTTAATCTTGTAAAGCTTCCAAGGCAAGCTAACAAGGTTGAAATCCCTCCATACATGTGTATGGAGGGGAGCAAAGGTGGGTGCCAGCTATCACAGCTACGACAAAAATATCTGCAAAAGCAAATGAACAGTGGTCGGCCAGCCAAAAATGCAATTTGACCAAAATAGATGGTCGGCCGACCACAAAAAGTGCCGGCCGGCCAAACATTTGGCCAATGGCAACAAACCAATGGCCGGTGGCCTCAAGCCATGGCCGGTGATGTGTGGGGGTGGCCAACAAGCCATCCCCTGCCCCTCACAGGCAAAGCACAAGTGTTTGGTGCAAAACTAGACACAAAACAGTCGAATCGAGAGATCCTGAGGCAAGGCGCGCGTGGCCGAGACTTCCGGGAACTCAGGACAAACACAAACATGGATGATCACCGAGTGTTCAAGCGGTGACGTCCAAGTCTTGAGGACGGTCAAAAATGGGGTGTCTACAGGTGCCCCTCTTTGACAAAACTCGAAAGTCATAACAATGACGGGAGTGAATGTCAAAGCCTAGAGACGACCCATTTTTAAGAAGGCCGAAGACTTGGACAAAGCGTGCAGGACAATAAAGATATGCACCCGAAGGTAGGGGCCAAATGCAACTGACAATGCAAGAAGCTGAGCATAACTTATGATCATGCAAAGAAATCTATAACGAAGCATAACATGCAACAATTTTAAGCTAGCAGAAACCAAACTACATTACAATGCAGAAAGGATGTAAGAGAATTATGCAATTCTCGATACGTCTCACTCGGAGGATACAATACCTGTCTGGTTCATTTGGTTGCACCAGCTTCAAATGAACCGTACATACAATATCGTGCCTGCAAAAGAAGGCAACTTAGCAGGTACGATATCGTTAGCAACATGCATGACAATGCAAAATGAATGCAAAATGATATGCAATATATACTAACTATGTATAAACAATGCGAATGATAATACAATGCGATTGAAATATGATCAAATCATGAGCGGATCACGAGCGGTTCGAAACCACACAAATGTCAAATAGATTGATGGAGGTGACAGGTCTGTCTAACATAGAAAAGGTCATACAGAACTATGAGTGTATAGACGGACCGCGAGAACAAGTAATTGGGTGGAATGACATAAGTGGGGAAATGACCCGCTGAAGAAAGACCAATGATCCTAATGCTGGATGCAAAAATTACACTACAATGTAATATATACGATGGATATGGCCTGCAGCCAAACCAAATCTTGCCTAGGAAAGGCATGGACACACACAAACTGCGTCTAATATAGAACAGTCATACAGAACTATGAGTGTATAGACGTGAAAAACATGGGCACGTACCAGACCAAGCTCAATAAGGAAAGGCGCAAGCCATAGATGGAAGTGATGCAATGAATGCATGCAAGCTACAATGCAATATCTACAATATGCAATGGAATAGATACAGTGGATTAAGGTCTACGGCCAAACCGTATCTTGCCTAAGAAGAGCATGGACACAAACAAACCACGTCTAACATAGAACGGTCATACAGAACTATGAGTGTATAGACGTGAGAAGCATGGGCACATACCAGACCAAGCTCAACAAGGAAAGGCGCAAACCCTAGATGGAAGTGATGCAATGAATGCATGCAAGCTACATTGCAATATCTACAATATGCAGTGGAATGGATATATTTACAGTGAAATGCATGACATATATAATATATTACAATGAAATGCCTGACATGTGCATTATTCACAATGTATGCATGACATATGCAATACTTAAAATGATGCATGACATATGCATGTTTGTTTGTTTTTTTTTTTTTTATTTGAAATGCATGTTGCATGGAATGCGCGACAACGCAAGTCGCTTGAAATGCATGGAAATGCATGTGAGCAGTGCACATCAATGTAAGTCGTGCTTGTTACGACGTATGTAGGCATGCGAAAATCAAAGGTTTTGTACCTTTCGAGGATTTAGGGTCTCCTAGACCGTGCGTATTTAAGGTCTCGCTAGACCGGGTAGAGGTGCATAACAATGCAAGTCGTGTGCATGACAATGCGAGATATGTGCATAACAATGTGTATGAAATGACATATGACCAACGCACGTTCACGGCAAAGTATTGTAAAGCAACTCATTTGGGGCAACTTTTGAATCTCGCGGGAGACAAAAGGATAGAAAAAGGATACACCCTGTACATATTCAAGTGCTGCGTACAGAAGACACAGTCTGAGGTCAAAACGGAGACCGGTTGAGCTTCGGAAGTGTACTGTCTTGCACTGTCTTGAGCAATGAAGGTCCCAAACCACATATCCGACCCAAAAAAAGGTGTAGGAGGCTCACCAGCCATCAGAGGAGGTCATCGGCTGCCCACCGGCCACAGAAACATTACACCGGCCAAATATTTAGTCGACCGGCCAAAAGTTTGGCCGACCGGCCAAATCTTGCTGAGTCGAGACAGTTTGGTCATTTCGGTATGGGTTTTATAAAATAGGGCTTCTAGCCCTATTCTTTTCACTTTCTCTTGGCCAAAATTCCTTCCCCCCTCTCTCTAGAGTATTTCCCGAGCCTCCATTCTCCGTTTTCCTTGATTCTCGCGCCCTTTTCGACGTTTGATTCATGAAGTTCTTCGCATTTCGAACATTTTCATCCGAACGAAACTTCATTTCGGTGTATTTTTTTCGATTTCCGCCTCTTGGGGTTTGTTTCCCCCAAGTTTTCCTTGATTTCTCTGCTTTTTCCACATTCCGGCTTTTCCGGCCATTTTCCACCCTCTCGGGGTTGACTTTCCGTTGACCCTTCGCATTCTAGCCCGATTTTCTCTCTTCCGACCATCTTCACACCACTTTTGACATGGCGGATGATATTCCACGGGCGGGACTCCCTCGGATCACGAGATGGACCCAGAGGCCGAGCTCCTCCCCTTGAGTGTCCGCCCATTCGACCTGGCGACCTACCGGCCGGCGCTGCCTCCTGATGGTCTTCGCCAGTTCAGGAGTTTCGACAGAGGCGTGCCACTAGAGCTTCTTTTGCGCGAGCTGACGTCTCACATGTCCTTCGGCACTTCCGAGGTACATTCTTCCCTCTGTTTTTCGCAATGTAGAACATTTTAACTGCCATAGTTGATTCTGTTCTTTAACTGCTTAGCTCAAATACACTGATACATTACACACTGTAATTCATCTGTGAACACACTGATACCCGATACTGGTTTGAAAATGTGCACATACACTGCATCTGTACTGGAGCACTCAAAAACACTGACACATCACATGTTGTAGTTCACTGTAAGCACACTGGCACTCGATGTTTGTTTGAATCTGAAAACGTGCACACACGCTGTATTGGCCCTGAACCACCTAAACACACTGACACATCGCATGTTGTAGTTCACTGTAAGCACACCGGCACCCGATGTTTGTTTGAATCTAAAAATGTGCACACACGCTGTATCGGCCCTGAACCACCCGAACACACTGACACATCGCATGTTGTAGTTCACTATAAGCACAACAGCACCCGATGTTTGTTTGAATCTGAACACGTGCACACACGGTGTACCATTACCAATTCTGAATGCTTTTCAATACTGTACATTTTATATTGCTTCGCGACTATTTTGTTCTTGAATACAGGGAGATTCCCATGCCTTCCGGGGGTATGGGAACATTGCCTCCAAAGACTGGTACATGGAGCTACCCGATGCAGTCCGTCACATCGTGGACCAGGCCGGGTTTGGCGCATTCTGCAGGGGACTCTCGCGCCTCACTGCGAGCAGACCTCATGTTTCTGCTAGGGACGACCATTTTCGCCGACCGAGCGAACACCGTGCCCCTCTGTCTGCTCAGCGCCCTTGTCACCAGGATCTTGTGCTACGACTGGGGTGGCACTGCCTTGGCCACTCTATATGGATATATGAGCTCAGCCTCCCGTTGCAGCGGACAGTTGCTCGGGGGCTACTGGCGAGCTAAGGAGGTACATTTTCTTCTTTTGTTTTTCATTTCTATTCTATATTTTCTGTACTCTGTACACTGCACACACTGTGATCTGCTTCACGCTGACTGTATACTGCACACACGGCACACACATACTTTGCTTTACACTGACTGTACACTGCACACACTGTACACTCTGCACAATATACGATTCTGTAATTTCTGCTTTATTATGTATTCTGCTTTATCTGATAAGCATACTGGTATTTGCTCTGCAGTTATGGGTCTATGCCTACTTTCCGAGACTCGCCCCAGTGCCAGACGTGGAGACCCCTCTCGTCGTTCCATTCTCGCACCGCTTTGACGTGAGGTGCTTGCGGAGGCCCCGGGAGACGTTTATCTTCTTCCGCCGCTACTTCGACGCCATCACCCCCGCAGAGGTATGTTCAACTTGTAGTTCCTTTAAGCTTCGCTTTACACTGTATTTTCTATAATAGTAGATAACAAACTGTATTTCGTTTTCAAATCACTTGGCAGCCTTGGGCTTCATTGCCAGCCGAGATGCGGGAGCAATTTGCAGGTGTGGAGGAGACTGCTCGCTTTAGGATTTTGCTGGAGGGCCCAATTTATTGGGCTTGGCACCTGGGTGAGCGTTTCCTACCGCCAGACCCTAGGTTTACCGGAGCAGATAGTCCCGGTTCACCCTCTTGAGCATATGAGGGACACCGAGAGGTTCACTTCCGAGCAGATGGCCGACTACACGATCGGCTGGGATGCGATCCGCTTCAGAGGCATAGGCGACTACTCAGAGTATGTGAGGACGCATATCATGCGGCCTTTGAGTAGTGGCCGCCGAGCTAAGAAGGAGGGACCTGCGGCTGGAGCCGGAGCAAGAGCAGGGACATCGAGGGTGGCTCGGGCTCGTGGCAGGAGCGGAGCTCGGAGGTGACAGGGGGCTAGTTGGCCAGCACTGCCTGTGACGATGACATGCCGAGGGCGGGGTGGGGCAACTTACCAGATTCCCATTGCTCCCCCTCTGGCAGACCACGAGCTAGTCAGGTTTTATGGCTTGCCTCCGGTATATACTACTGCATTTTGCATTCTGTACAGTCATTTCATTTCATTTCGTTTGATACTCCGCAGAATACTGATGCTTCTAACGCTTTTGCAGGCCTCTTCTGAGTACACTCGCCAGTCCCTAGAGCTGACCGCCTCCGTGATGGGGATGCTCCAGTAGAGCCTCGACCTTCTGGCAATTTACAGCATTCCGGTATGTTCCTCTGACCGCGGTCTCAAACCATACATAAACTGTTTCACATATCTGATGCACAACACAACACTGGATACATTGCCCTCACGGCATCTGACATACTGCAGCCCACAGACTGTTCACAGCATTACTCGCGGCATTCACACACTGTACTCATACCTTGTATCCTGCACTGACATACTGCCTACAGTATTCACACACTGTACTCATACCTTGCATCCTACACTGGCATACTACCTATAGTATTCACACACTGTACTCATACATTGCATTCTACACTGATACACTGCCTACAGTATTTCACACACTGTATTCATATACTGCATTTTGTAGCATACTGATGCGTTTGCCGTTTGTACTTTTCAGCATCCCTTCCAGATTCCTACTGTAGGAGGTGCTCTAGCTGGACCATCCATTCCTGTTCAAGGGGGAGATGGAGAGGGCAGAGTATACCCCCGCACCAAGGCGGGGCGCACTCATGTTGGGAGTAGCTCACGAGCACTCGTCCCTGATGATGATGATAACGAGTCCGAGGCTGAGGCTGAGGCTGAGGCGGAGGCAGAGGCAGAGTCGTCCGAGGAGGAGACCGGAGACGGCTCGGGCTCAGACTCAAAGGACGATGCTGATGATGATGCTCCTGGACCTTCCTCCAGGAAGAGGACGAGGATGAGGACGGACCCTTAGACCCGAGGCCTTTTGACATTGATCCAAATTTTTGCTGTTTTTTTTTTTCTTCTTTTTTGTACTTTTCTTTTTGTTGCTAGTAGCTAGAGTACCTTGTACTGCCGCAGGCAGGTTTTTTGTTTCCAAAGCTTTGTACTTGACAAAGATGATGAAATGAAATAAAAAATTTTATCTGAAAAATTGTTACATCTGTACATTTCATACTCTGCATCGCATTGCATCATATTACACCTAAATGTAAATGAGATTGATCCTTTGTCTAAAAATCAAACACTTGTATCACAATAACCAGGTAATGGGTTGGCCAACAGCAAGACAACTCAAACAACCACTGCTCAGTCGGAACACTTGGCTCATACTCTGTCGGGGATTAATCTGCATACAGCGAATCCTGAATAAACAGTCCAACCTGAAAAGACGGAATACGAAGGTGGGATCAGTTGAAGTTGAAACACACTCAGATGCAATCCGCAACCCGAAAGCTTCAGAGAGGCCCCGGTTTTTCTGTTCACACTTATCAGGGGTGGACCCTGCAGTTGCATGAAAGAACCAAATCACGTTTTTTGTACAAATGTGGAGAATGGCACAGCACTCTGAGCACAAAACGATTAGTTTTTGAAATTGAAAAAGGGTTTTTCAAACCGGGGTATTGAGCCTACGACTGAGTACAGTGAAAAAGACTCAACAAAGAAAACAAAAGGCACACAGCCTAAACCCATCGAGACGCGCTCGGGACCGACTCATAACCAGAGTTGAGACAGACAAAACAAAAGACACGACACACAGACGTACTACAAAAATGAGAGACTTCTAAATCCGCGAGGAGCCAGTTTATTCGGGTATGTTTCCCACCCTTTCTTATTTATGTTTCTCACATCACTCGGCCCTCAGGCTCGGTTTTTCTCTCAAAAACCCTTTTCCTCACTTTTCCTCGAATTACACCTCTCTATTCTTTATTCTCTCATTTTATATCCCTCCCCAGGGTGATTAATGGAGAAATGGAAATTGCGGGTTCACGCCTAACACTCTTAGCTCACGGCTATTTCCTCCCGGGACGTCTAGTCGATGTTCCGAATGGAGTATCTTGATCCATTCCAAATTGTGCTTCGCACTTAGCTTGATACCTCGTTGCTTGGAGGTTGTTGAGAGCTTTCAGCCCTTTACTGACAGCTTCAGTTGTGTCTTTCTCTGGTGAATAGAACGCCCTTCTGGCAAGTATTGTCAATCGGGGGAAAGACAGGGAGCCTGGCTCAACTGTGCCCCTAGTTCATCATTTTGACCATTTTTGTTTTGGTTTTCTACTAAAACAATTTTGACCAATATGAGAGTAAGATTAACATACTTGTGTGATTTTTGGTTTGAAAACCATGCAAGTCAGGCTATGAGCACTGAAAATTTTCCTTTTTTGGGTCCAAGAAAATAGTCCAGTTTTGGAAAATAAAACAATTTTCGAGAAAATTAGTCAACCTCAGTAAAAAAATTCCCAAAAACTATTTTTGGCAAACGGTCGCCGCCCAACGAGCGCGGAACTTACTCTCGAGATGCGCAACCTCGGATCGGAGGCAATGGAAAATTTCCCCTTGTTTGAAGGATGCTACACGGTAAAGGAAAGTTGCCCCCGGTTTGAGTGGTGACTCATGGCAACTCGTGGCAACGGAAAGTTGCCCCTTGTCTGGATAACACCGCAGCATTTTGTAAACAATCCTCATTAGTGATAATCACGACCGAACTCTCGGACACGGAGAAGATGAAGATGGTCAAAACCAATATATGGACACAGTCACTTTAAAAGTGCGTGGTGGCAGGACTTCAGGATAAAGTTGCCTAGATATCCCAAACATGGGAATCAAGGATGATCAAAACCATTACATGGACTTAGTCGCTATGAAAGCGTCGGGGGTTGGACTTCAGGATGAAGTTGCCTACGTATCCCAAACATGGGAATCAAGCCTTACCTACTTCCGGTTAAGGTACACTCGGGGATTAACCTTCACTTTTTAGGCTCTAACTTTTGCCAAGGCGCCCGTTGCGGGTTTTCGACCTTACGAGCTTTGTTCTTCTTTCCTTTTTTGATTCTTTTCTTTTCTTCTTTTTTCTTCTCCCTCTTTTTTTTTTCTTTTTTCTCTTTTCATTTTTGCATTTTTTCTCCTTGCTCTAACTTTTGCCTGGGTCGCCCTTCTGGGTTTTCGGTCCAGCGAGCCTCTCAAAGGGTAAAAGTGTAACAAGCCAATGCCAAATGGTTTTGAGATCCTGAAGTCATCTGAATCCGGGAAAATGACTGTTGTATTGATTTGCTGAAGGACCCATCTTCGACTCTTCGAGCAGATCAGACATTTTTGCCCCTAGTTAGAGGGGTGTTTCTGTGCTAGCTTCACAAGCTTCTTCCGGCGAGATCTGATCTTCTTGATCTACCTTTGGTGCCTTTTGTTCGAGGGCTGCTTCCAATCTGGCCACACAGGCCCCTCTTGATGGTCGATCGTTGAACACTCCGAATTGTGGTTCCAGGTTTTAAAGCAAAGGCTCAAGTCTTGAGGCTGAGAGCGATCCTAAGCTGCACAATCTCAAGAGCGATTCCACACAAGTCTTCGCAGGACTGCAGAAAACATTTTGTTTTTGAAAGTTTTTAAAGAAACGACAAATCGCTCGCGCCGAAGATAGTGTGGAACCAGTCTGGATCAAGCCAGGGTTCTTCTCAGTACTCACGCTGACAAGCATGATTTCAATCATTAAGGGCTTTGCACGCCTCTCTTTCTCTTAATTTGATTAAAGTTTTTGCAAATCCCGAGGAATTCCTTCCTCTTCGTTTTTACCGCAGTGTTCAAAAAGGTTTTGAAAAACTTAGGTCAATGCAATGATTTTCAAGGCACAAGAGAGCAGGTGGAATGTACTGCTATTCCATTCAAGTCCTCTGGCATAACTAGCTCATAATAGCAATAAGCATGGAAATATGATAGCCGCAGCCATTTCATTCAGATTTCCTCGTTGCAACTGGCTCCATAGAAGAGACAGACTCAAAAGGAAGCAAAAGGGTAATTATAAAACAAAACGGTGTTCGAGGCAACAACTCCGCAATCACCTAACATTCTATACAATGGGACTGACTCGACACAACAAGACAAACCCTTTAAACAAAAAGACTGACTCAAAATAAAGAGATAGACTCAAAACAAGACCACTGAACTAACTGAACACCTAAGTCAGAAACTACAAAAAAGGGCATTCGCAGATGTTCAAAAGTGCGTGCCAGACGCCACATCCAAAATGCACCGAGCGCCGCCCACAGGTGGTCCAACCCCTGATCACATACTTGCAGTATCCTCGAAGTCTAATAGCTCAGTAGTGACAGACTTTGCTGAGGTAGGTGAGAGGATGACCTCATTGTCGATGAAATCCTGCACTTCATGACGAAGGCGAAAACAACCATCGGTACTGTGGCCGGACTGTTGGTGCTACGCTCAGTACAAGGTAGCATCATGTGAGAGAGGGAGATTCTTCGGGAGAGGCCGAGGCTCGAGAGGCTTAAGATGCCCCTTTTTAGCCAAAATTTGAAATGCCCTAGACAAAGGCATGTAGAGAGCGTGAAAGACTCTACGCCCTCAAGGCAGGTACTTCGAAGTCCGAGGGTTCTTGCTAGATGCACTAGCTAAAGGGTCGGCAGGCACTGCCTTGGCTTTCTGATCTTTTCGTGGTGCAGGGTTGGGAATGATAGGAACTGTCTTGGCATGACGGGGCCCATCCCGATTTTTTGCCTGGCTTGAACTGCCTTCAGTTGAAGTGGGGAAAGCATCATCCACAACTTTAGTCATCACTACGAATACTTGTTGCTTATTCATCCCCCCGGCTTTCAAAGCCTCGACTGCGCACAGCAATTGTCCAACGGGATCAGCATCTGTTCCCACTTTGTTCTTACCTCTAGCCTCAGCCTGATCGAGGGTTTAGGTTACTACATCAAAGCGATGCCCAGTTGTTGCTAGCACATCGTTGCTGTAGCTGGAGGCAACCTCTGGTTGGCTGAGCTCGATCACAATCCGCCCCAGTAGCGAGTGCTCCTGTGGTATGAAATTCCCGGCACACGGTGCAGCTGGTGGCGAAGCCGACATTCCATAGGCCAGATCGGCCACGGATCTCTGGATGTCACCGATCATTCCCATTAACTCAAATGTGGTAGGTTCACGAGCTTGAAATATCTGGGCTTCCCAGATCGGGCGCGCAACAGGCGACCTAGGCGGATGCGGTACATCAACATTGGTCTCATCCTGTAAGATGATCCCTTGGTCTAACGCGGCTGCCATAACCGCAATTTCCTCTGAACTCTGTGTCATCATAAGTCCGCGGAATTGAACGGTGACTGACGGATCAGATATCTGTCTTGCCTCAGCAATGGAGAACACTGGCTATTCTGTACTAAGTCTCTGAACTGAAAGAGAAAACACGCAGCATTTCGGCCCAATCAGAACAGACACAAGTATAGCTGAATATTTGTACTCTATTCCTAATCACTGTTCCCCAAAATCACTGTCCCAAAAAACAGAATCTGATACCCGCAGATATAACTGATTCCCCAAACTGATACTGGTGCCCTCAGGCCTGATACTCAAACTTGCAAACTGATGTGCGCATTCCTGTAGAGATACACTCTAAAAGCACATAGCAAGCAAAGAGAGCCAAAACACCCCTAAGTTGGGGTAGGGTTTCCCTGTCCTATTTTGTCAGGAGCTAGGGTTTCACTACGCACGCAGCGGTTTCAAACAACTTAACATCGGGTAAGCAACCTGTCCTAGCTTGGAATGGTCACTATGGTTCCGAATATGCACTAGGTCGAATGGTCAAAAAGGGTGCCCTGGTAAAAACCGGGGTTTGTGTTCCCATGCTGTCAGAGCCCATAGCCGGTCAGCCTTATGGACATGCCTTGACAAGACAAGCCTCCGGCAAACCGTTCAGGAATAACACGGTGTCTTAGCGCACCAATGCACATGACAATGCAAAGAACATAGGTGTAGTCAAAACAAGATATCATAAGTTCGAGTCAAGTTCTCTAAACTCCCCAGCGGAGTCCAGAAACGGTAGACGCGCCCGCGTGAGGCCTTCGTGCTACAGTTCGGACTCGATTTTGTCGCAGTTCTTAATCTGACCAAAGAGTCCAAATCCGGCAAATCATTTTGA